ATTGGTCAGCAAAATAGGCATTGGTCTCAGCATACCAGCAGCCTAACAATTGTCAAGTTTTTTTATAGATATCACAGAAGAGGAAAGTTTTAAGGATGGTTTCCACGCAGGATAAGGAGGCAGTTTTGAAGATGTTTATTGGAAGCTCCTACCAAGCATGGGAAAAAGCATGAAGATGCCTGTTTGAAAATTTAACAAGTAGGGCCAATCACAGGCAGGAGTTGACATTTTGATAATGAATGATGGATGATTGGTATGGTGGGGATAGGCAATGAATGCCTTTGAAATTGAAGATAAGTAGCGTATGTGTCTACGTCTACACTGGCGCGTTCTCACACAAAAACTCTTTTGCGGAAGAGTTCTTCTGCAAAAACTCTTCCAGAAGAGAGCATCTACACTGGTATGTGCTTTTGTGCAAGATATGTGTTTTTGCGCAAGAACATCCATACCAGTGTAGATGCTCTCTTGTGCAAGAAAGCTCTGATGGCCATTTTAACCATAGAGTTTTCTTGCGCAAGAAATTCATGTTGCCGGTCTACACTGGCCTCTTGTACAAGAACAGTTGTGCAAAAGGGCTTATTCCTGAGCGGGAGCATCAGAGTTCTGGAGCAAGAAGCACTGATTTCATACATTAGAACGTCAGTTTACTTGCACAAGAACACGTGGCAAGTATAGACAGGCAGCAAGTTTCTGCGCAAGAGTGGCCGCTTTTGTGCAAGATCGTGCCAGTGTAGACACAGCCTGTATGTTTGATGTACCAGAGAAGGAGAAGACAGCACAAGGATGCAAAAAGAGGAGTGACATAGTCAAAGTTGCAGGTTAGGAAAATGATTTTTACAGCAGCATTCTGAAGGGATGTTTTTACTCTTCTATTACTGATATTTATTCAACCTTAATTCTAAATATACTTGAATATAGTATCTTTCTGAGAATTGATAGTAAAGATGAGAATGACAGCTGGCTGTATTCCAGAACTCTATGGAATGCTTGAGACTAGCAGGAAACACTTTTGCCTCCATTACACTGTTAGGTAAATACCACTTTACTGAATCATAATAGTAAGGAGGAACTGAAATTATCTTTATTCTTGGCTGTTACACTTTATGGACATGATTGTGCAACTCTTGAATGGAGTAAAGCTGGCTCAGCCTGCTCCTACATTGACTGACTGCCCCCCACTGACCCAATAAAGGGATGTATTGAAAGAGGAAGGGGACATGAGGAAGGCAGGTAAGGGGTAGGAAAGAGATCCACTGTTCTCAACTGGTGTAGTGTGTAACTTTTGTAACCAGCTCCCTGACAATCTCTGGCCCTGTATTTTAACTCAGAGACATATTATCTAGCCAAGAAGAAAGAAGAGGGAATTGGAATGTATGTGACACAAATGTCAATTCATGATTCGTTTGTAAATAAATGCCAAGATCAGGGACCTAATGCTGCCTTTTCAGAACTTGTCTTCTTGCATTTGTCCAGTATATGCTTTTAACTTATTCTACTGTCATGTTTTGTCAGTACTTTATGGAGCTCAGTCAAAGCTTCATTATGGCATTGCCATGCCATGACAATATGTAGCTAAATAGCTTGAAGACATCACATTACAACAAAATATAATAATATCACAATATATGTAACTAATAAGGTCAAAATGTCATTGTGCTATGGAAGTGGCACTCACTTCCATATTGCGCAGAGGGGATGTAAAATCCCATTCAATTGGTTAACTGGTTAAATATAATGTGTAACCAGTTAATCGATTAAAGGGGGGCTAGAGTGGGAGCTGCTCCGGCTCAGGCCCCCGGGCAATCCAGTTAACTGGAACCAGTAATCCTCTCCCATTAAGTGATTATAACCAATTAACCACATCCCTATTACACAAGAGGGCCACATAAATCTGAGCACAACCTTGTGAGACCCAAACAGATTTTATTTTGTATGTACACTATTTAGATAAGTGGTTGTATACAGTATTACCTATTTAAAAATAGAGAAAGAAATCAGTTAATAAAATGTCAGAATTATAGAAAACAGTAAAGAACATAACTAAAATGATATAAAACTGACAAAACATTAATGAGTTACATTGTTCAGAAGCTTCAGGGGGTAGCCGAGTTTGCTATTTTTTCCCGTACAGGCTAATAGTCTGGTAGCACTTTATAGACTAACAAAACCAGTAGATGAGCTTTTGTGGCACAGCCCACTCCTTCAGATAACTGGAGTTTTGAGTTTAGGATGTGCAGATCCAAAATAAATAGGAGAGAAGGGTTTTATGTATTTTTTATTTATTTTGGATCTGCACATCCTAAACTCAAAACTCCGGTCATCTGAAGGAGTGGGCTGTGCCCATGAAAGCTCATGATACCATCTACAGGTTTTTTTAGTCTATAAAGTGCTACCAGACTATTTGTTTACTAATATTGTGTTAAAGTAGGCAGTGGGCCTTACAAAATAGTCTGGTGGGCCATATACAACCCATCTAGGTTGCTCATGGGACAGGCACCTATATGCTATGGCAAATTGGTACCGTGTTGGCATTAAAAAAGTGAGACCTGCATGAAAGTGATAGAGTACTGTATACAAATGAAGATCTGTGTATCTTAACGATGATGTGCTGTAATAAAATGGCATTTTGCTATGTTAGAACACAATACATCTGTACACTTCAGCACAGCATCTAAATGTCATATTGTGTCAAAACAGTGACAACTGTCTAAAAATGATTGCATTTGATTAATCCAGTGCTATGTAGGATCAAAATTGTGGCACACTATCAAAAGTATATCAGGCTATGTCAATACAGTGATACACTATGTCAGAACAGGTGACCCACATTAATACAGCATCAAAAGACAACTACATCATGTTAAAACAGGACTGCCCAGTATCATAAGAGTACTTCACCATGCCAATATGCCCTTGAAACTCCCTTACCAGAGGTGTGATGCCGTTATTAAGGAGAAGTTCCTGTGCTAAAGAAGGATTTTGCTGAGATTCATTGTGGCACTTCTACCCTTGGCTTAAGATCTGGCTTACTTCAAAGTACTGGTGGCCTCTGAGAAATATTTATTTGATCTTGTGGGGATCTATTTCACCTTGCATTTGAAAAAGCTGGTTCAGTTTTCTGTAGGTGGGGGATTAGTTGGTGTCTATATATGTGGGTTAGGTTAGTGTGGTATAGACTCCTTGAGGTCTGAATTTGCTGTGTAATACATTGAGTGGGGCTGGGGCAATGGTCATTGTTTATATGACACATGTTCCTGTGGGATTGCGTAAACTGTGTGGATTTTGAGGGTGGATCAGAAGGAACAGTCACTCCGTGTATGTGGACTACATGCTCAGGGGAAAGTGTGCACTGTGTATATAGAAGAGGTGGACCTAGGAAAATGGTCATTGTATGTGTATGGGGGATGAGGGGAAGTTTCTATGGGATTGTGGGCATTGTGCATTTATGGGTGATAGTGGGGCCTATAATGCAGGTGGACCTGTAGGAGTGAGTGTACTGTGTGTGAGTATGGACGTGGTTGGGTCTGTGGGATGGTATGCACCATGTATACGTGTGGGTTGAGTCTCTTGGATGCACTGTGTGAGCGGGCAGCGAGCCTGTAGTTGGAGTGCACTATTTTGGGGAGAGCAGGGGGCACAAGCCTGAGTGGGGTGTACTGTGTGCTTGGGGGGACACACTGGGGGATGAGCTATGTGCATTGGAATGGCAGATGGGAGGGTCCCTGTGTGCCTGTGCATATGTGCATATAAGCCTGTGAGTGGAGAGTGTTGCATGCATGGCGGGGGTGGGGGAGCCTGTGTCTAGAATGCACTGTATGCCTGGGGGTCTCAATCCTGTGGGTGAGGTGCACTGTGTGGCAGTGAACCTGTGGATGGGGGTGCTTTGCACATTGGGGCAAGTGCGTACATGAGCCTGTGGGAGCCTGTGCTGTATGCAGGAGGATGAGCCTGAGTGATGTGTGTTGTAAACCTGTTGGGGGGGTACCCTGCATGTGTGATTAGTGACCATTTAGGTGGGGTATGCTTTATACATGGGGTGAGTGCTGTGTGCACGGGAAGGGGGAGCACATGTGTGGGGTGTGCTGTGTGGGGGGATGAGCCTGTGATTGGGGTACCCTGTGTATGTGGGGGTGCCTGGGAATGGGTTGTGTGCATGGGAGGGGCAAGCCTGTGGGTAAGGTGTACTGTGTGCGTGTGAGTTGAGCGTATGGTACAGAGGGATGCGCTGTGAGTATGCGGGGAGCCTGTGGGTGAGTATTCTGTGTGCACGGGACGGGGGAGGAGGGGGAGGAAGGAGCCTGTCAGGAGCGTGCTGTGGGCGTGCGGTGACCTGTGGGTGGCTGTGCTTTGTGCATGGGAGGGGCGTGCGCCGCGTACGTACGGCAATGATATACTGTGCAAGTCTCAGTGTGGAGGTGGGTCGGGGGCGGACACTGAGGGTGGGGGCGAGGAAAGACCCTCCTCGTCTATCCTTCTCCGATGCGCTCTCCGCCCCTTGACGCTACGGCCGTGTGTTTCTGCGCCCATGGTAGGGGGGGGCCGC